AATATTTAGCAACTGAATAGAATTACATTGCTAATTGTAACTAATATTTAGCGATCGAATTTAATTTTGTCGCTAAAAAAATCAAAGTTTCTTATTTAGAGACCGAATTCAATTCGTCACTAATTTTAACTAATATTTAGCGATCGAATTTAATTTTGTCGCTAAAAAAATCAAAATTTCTGATTTAGCGACCAAATTAAATTTCGTTGCTAAATATTAGTTAAAGTGAATTCGGTCGCGAAATTTAACTAATATTTAGCGACCGAATTCAATTCTGTCGCTAAATTTAACTACTATTTAGCGACCGAATTCAATTTCGTCGCTAAAAAAATCAAAATTTTATAATTTAGCAACCAAATTAAATTCCGTCGCTAAATTTAACTATTATTTAGCGACCGAATTCAATTTCGTCGCTAATTTTAACTAATATTTAGCGACCGAATTAAATTTCGTCGCTAAAAAAATCAAAATTTATAATTTAGCGACCGAATTAAATTCTGTCTCTAAAAAAATCAAAATTTATAATTTAGCGACTAAAATAGCTACCGAATTCAATTCTGTCGCTAAATTTAACTACTATTTAGCGACCGAATTCAATTCCATCGCTAATTTTAACTAATATTTAGCGACCGAATTAAATTTCATCACTAAAAAAAATCAAAATTTATAATTGAGCGACCGAAATAGAGATCGAGTTTAATTTCGTCGCTAAAAAAATCAAAATTTATAATTTATCTACTGAAATAGCAACCAAATTTAATTCTGTCGCTAAAAAATCAAAATTTCTTATTTAGCGACCTAAATAGCGACCGATTTTCTAACGACGACTTATTTTGATCGCTAAATTGATCGTTATTTTAGTTTTTCATAATCGGTCACTAAATCAGTCGCTAAATAACGACTGATAAATTTCGGTCGCTAATTTACAATTTTCTAGTAGTGTACTAAAACTTGGAATAGTTATAAGCAACAGATGTAACAGCCCAGCAACCCGCATGTGGATATTGTCCGCTTTGGCCGCAGCCCTCACGGTTTTGCTTCTGGCAATGGCACGCATGCCACCCCAAAACGCGTCCACACAAGGAAGGTATCCACACCCATATATATGGCATGCTTCGTTCTCCTTCCTAACCGATGTGGGACTTCACAACAGAAGGAAATGTGATTCTCGAGACACATAGAACATGTAAACATAAACTAATAAGTGATAAAATTCCAAAATTGAAATAAAGGATTAAAGAAATCAATGAAATCATAATAAGATTAAATATATCCACGCTTATAATAGAAAAATTAATACGATCAAATTTTCATATCTTAATTAAAATAATTATTAATTATTAATAATAACAACTCATTTTTAAAAGATAATAAGAAAAAAAGGTCGATTGAATGTGCATTGTTTTAACGCTTAAAATTTTTAGGATATAAGTTGTTACAAATTTGATTGTTCTAAAATTATAAAGAATAAGCATATAATCGTTCAAAACTGAGTATTATAATATAATTAAAATTATGATGGATTTTTATATAAAAAATGTTGATTAAATGTGACATTTTTTCAACCTTGTAATTTCTTGAAACATAGGTTGTGATAATTTGATAGTCTTAATATCTTTTAAAATTTCCCCTAAAAGAAAAGATCTTTTAAAATAAAATATTTTATAAATTATAAATTCTAAATCAAAATTTTATAATCTATTTAGAAAATAAATTGTTTAAAATCAAGTAGTGCTAATTAGATAATAGATTATTTCAATGTAATATTCTTTTAACCCTTTGACTTAGGGATACAAATTGTGACAATTGTTTTCGTTAGTTCCCCTCTAAATTAAAATAATAAAATATAATATAAAATATTTAAAATTATAATAGTATAAACCTTAATTGGAGAAAAGATTAATTGAATGTGATATCTTCTTAACCCTAGAGTTTTCAAATACTAGTTGTGATAGTTTGGTATATTTGAACTTTCCTCTAAAGTGAAAATATTTAGTTAAAACTATAATTCTATATCATGAATAATTAGAATAATAATGAAAAATCAAAATTAAAATATTCTAATGGATTGATTCTGGTGTATACTTTTATCAATTTTGTACTTTGAGACCTATAAGCTGAGATAATTCAAAAATCTTAAAATTTAATAAAAATGCAATTTAATTAAAAAAAACATAAAAATATATTCTAAAAGAATTAGGTGACTCTGATTTCTCCATTACACATAGAAATACGTAGGAGCAGAAAATCATATCCTATTGAGTTAGAAAATAAAAATAATAATATTAACTCTCTTTTTAACAACAACAATAACAATAATTTTAGTATTCATTAAAATAAAATATATTAAATAAAATATATTTGATGTCATTATTAATTTTTATTAATTTGGAATGAAAAATATTTTAAAAGATTTAAATAGTTTGTTTAATTAATTAAAGGTAACCATTTTTACTATGGACGTTATAGGTTGTTAATACTTTTCTTACAGTTAATTAACTTTCGAAGTCAAAAAATATTTTTGCAGATCACTTTCTATGATATGATTTTTTTCAATATTTTTTCTAAAATATACATTAGTGGCAGCTCCTTGTTTATTGATCTATTTTTGTACTAACTGATAGTTGGTTCAAATGATACTAAACTCGATCCCTTTAAATAAAGTCTCAAGTTCAACTATTTTATATGAAAAGAAATGTTATTGGAACAAGAGGTTTCACTAAAAGTGGTGAGCTAAATTTGCTAATGAAGATTAGTTATACTCCATACCAATAACATAATTATAAATATTAGTAGGTTCGAGATACTTTACACTTCTATATACTTTGTTTAAAAAATATAATAAAATAAAAAATAAAAGTAAAATTAAGAAATTACAACATGTGAGATAATGTATAATTAGAAAAAAAAGTAAAATAATTTTAAACAAAAATGATTACAAAATAAAATGGTAGTTATTATTGATAAAGTGATTGACAATTAATTTTTTTTTAATGCATGTAGACTTTTTTTCTCTTATTTTACCTTTAAAATATATGCATATAAACTTTTTTTCTTCCTATTTTACCTTTAAAATATATGATGGTGAGAAAAAAGTATATAATAAAAAGATAGAAATATTTTTAAAAAATTGTAGAATATTTCATTAACTCCCTTCTTTTTCATTTTAAAAAATGTGGAATATTTCATTAACAAGAGACCAAGAGCACGCAACTAGTCCAGATTCGATGTATCTGCACGGAGTAATCACAACCATACAAACTTTATCAGATTGTGACATGAATATTTAATTAACTCCCTTCTTTTCATTTGAGAAATATATAATAATATATTATACACTATCATTTGTATGTATCAAAAAAAATATGTACAAAAAAAATACAGTATCATTTGTTTTTTTATATATATAGAAAGATTATAAGTAATATTATTTAATTTTCTAGTGTTTATCTTCGTTCATTTTTAATAGTTATTTAAAAAATTTACATACAAATAAAAAATACAGTAAATATTTATTTTTGAGGGATGCATGGGCTTGGGAAGTTTTTTTTTTAATTTCTTCTCGTAATTATATGAAATATTCCTTATCTAGCATTGAGTGATCACAGTAATTCAATTGGTTTAATGTTTTGGGCAAAACAATATTACGTTAAGGAAGAAAAAAAATACATGCGTCGTAAAGAGTTTGAGTTTAATTAGTATACTCAGACGTTCCATTACAAGAATAAGAGTTCTAGTTGAATACGTAGACTACATGAACGTCGTAAATTTTTTTAATATTAGTGTTCGATTTTTATAAATTAAAAAGTTAACTTCTTCTTATCATAAAAAGTATTAGTATAATTTATAAGATAATTATTATAAAAACTAAAAGAAATTTGATACATTATGATTTATAATTAAATAATGATGTAAAAAAAAAAAAAAACACTTCACCAATATGCCGACGGTGATATTTATCCATTTTCATCATTTATTTTAAAAAAATTACTTTAATGCAATATTTATCATTTTCTAGTTAAACCGTAATATAAAGACTCTTTACTGTGTGATAACGTCAAAATTAAACTCATTATTAAATAAGTTTATTTAATGGAAATTGTTACGGTACCCTCAAAGATCAAGGAGTTTTAATACATTCTTTTATGTAAACTTATAAAAAAAATAAATTAATTTAATTATAAAATAAATAATCTAAATTATATTTATAAAATGAAAAATAAGATAAAATTATAGAGGTTAAAATTATAAGATTTCAATAATATTATAAAACATTAAAAAA